ATCGGCCCCGGCCCGTGAAGGTGTGGGCTGACCCTCGGCCCGCCCGGCCGATGGGCCGGGGTCAGCCCTCATCACTAGTGCGACTGTATATCAATATATAATCATGTTAACGTAGTCAATCTTAGGAAATCAATAATAGTTAACGATAAACCCGCCGTAATATATTATAGTTTTATTCTTAAATTTCGTAAAGTTGATTGCCATCCAAATATTACGTAAAAGGTACATAGATAGCTTATCTCTCTTAGCAAGTAATATCCTAAACCTTTTATATCAGTTTAACCCGTCAAAACTAATCTAACTCCTTTATATTTCTGATATCCCTTATCTCATTTTATGCAATAAAAACAATAAAACATTTCACTGATTATAGTGTCCACTAGTTCGATGATATGCTATCATATTACCCATATTGCCTGTAGAAAAAGGATCTATAGAGATTAAATTTTTAGAATGATCAGGAAGCTCTTTTAAAACCCAATTCACTGCTATGGAATAATATATTGTCTTTAAAAATTTCATCAGCGGATAAGTGAATATTATAATATCGAAAATTGCTATGAAAGATAATTTTTAATTAGACAGTGGATTTTTTTTTAAATATACATTAGCTGCAGTAAATCATACCTCATTTGTCCCTGAAAATCTGCATTTATATCAGAATGCCCAATTTTCAAAGGAAATTCATTGAATATAATATCTTTCACATCTTTGTATCCGACCAATTCACCATCTACATAGAGTTCCATACGTTTTTGAGACTCAGAAAGTGTGTAGGCTATGTGATACCATTTGTTTAACTCAAGACTAGTTCCAATTTGACCATTATAATTCCAATTGTTATTTACTGAGCATGTAAAGCATAGTTGTGAGTTAATCGTTGTTGTTAGCCAAAGCCCTGGGGTACGGGTTTGCTGTGCATCTTCACCCATCATTTTTTTTAGTTTACAATAAAAAATTTTTATTTTAGACAATGTTTAACCATTATATAATAATTATCATTCTTGTACTAATTATGGATTCACCGATATCTATTTTCTGCCTCTTAAGTCTATCCAACATTAGCTTTAAAGGCTAACCATAACCATTTCAACCTTAATTGCCGTGAAACAATATCCACAAATCAATTAATCAATTAATTAATTATACCTTTGTGAAAAATAGTTATCCAATTTGAAGCATGTTTCTCGAGATTCAATTGAAATATCACTGATAACTCGTTTATTACAGATGGCAACTCATTATGTTGTATAGTTTTTTTATTAGCAGGAAAATATGTAGGTCTTGAAAAAATCTCAAGACAATCTGAGAAAATTTAGATAACTAATTTTAGTATTGATAAAAATTTGAGATTCTACATTTTAAAGTTTCAAAACTTACTATTTGAGTCAATTTCTTTATTCCAAATTTTTACTTGATTTCGACCTAACTCATTGATATGATATGATATATAATCTTTAAAAATTTCATCAGCAGATAAGCGAATATTATAATATCGAAAATTGCTATGAAAGAAATTTTTAATTAGACACGAATTTTTTTAATATACCTTAGTTATAGTAAATCATACCTCATTTGTCCCTGAAAATCTGCATGTATATCTGAATGCCCAATTTTCAAAGGAAATTCATTGAATTTAATTTCTTTTGTCTCTAAGGACCCAATCAATTTACCATTTACGTATAACTCCATACGTTTTTGAGGTTCAGAAAGTGTGTAGGCTATATGATACCATCGGTTTAACTCAAGACTAGTTTCAGTTTAACAACTATAATTCCAATTGTTATTTACTGAGCATGTAAAGTGTGGCTGTGAATTATTCTCTGATAGCCAAAGCCCTGGGGTACGGGCCTGCTGCGAATCTTCACCTATCATTTGATTTATTTTTACAATAAAAAAATTGCTATTTTAGACAATGCTTAACTATTATCATTCTTGTGCTAATTATGGCATTTCATCGATAGATATTCTTAAATATATCCACCGTTACTTTAAAAACTTTAATCGGGCCAACCTTAATTGTCATGAAACAATATCCATCAATTAATTGATTAATTAATTAACTATACCTTTATGAAATATAGTTATCCAATTTGAATTATGTCTATTGAGATTCAATTGAAATGTCACTGATAGCTCGTTTGTTTCAAAAGGCAATTTATTATGTTGTATAGTTTTTTTATTAGTAGGGAAGTATATAGGTCCTGAAAAAATTTCAAGATAATCGAAGATATACACTTCTATTACATCAAAAAATCCAATTGATTAAGACTTATTCTCATAAATGTAATAGAAAATATTTTACTGCGCCACAATCACAATCGAGTGTGGTGCAGTAAAATACTTCTATTACGTACTTGTGAAAACATTTAGATCAGCAATGTTAGCATTAAAGGAAATTTGTGTTTCTACAATTTAAAGCTTCAAAACTTACTATTTGAATCGCTTTCTTTGTCATTTGAGTCAATTTCTTTAATATCATTAGATCGAATATCTAAATATTTCAGCGTAGAGTTCTTGTAAAGTGCATCAGCTAATGCTTTTCCACCTTCTGATTCAAGTTCATTATAACTAATATCCAAGGAGATTAAGGAGGTGTTCTTGCAAAGCGCATCGGCTAATGCTTTTCCTCCTTCGGATCCAAGTTTATTTAAATTAAGATTTAAATCTTTCAGAGTGGTATTCTTACAAAGTGCATTAGCTAATGCTTTTCCTCCTTCGGATCCAAGATTATTATTTTCGAGATTTAATGTTGTTAAGGAGGTGTTCTTGCAAAGTGATTCAGCTAATGCTTTTCCTCCCTCTGATCCAAGATTATTCTTCTTAAGATTTAATGTCGTTAAAGAGGTAATCTTGCAAAGTGCACGTGCTAACGCTTTTCCTTCTTCTGACCCGAGACCATTCGAAGTAAGATCCAATGATGTCAGTGTGGTGTTCTTGCAAAGTGCATCTATTAATGCTTCCCCTCCTCCAAGATTATTGTCTTGAATATCTAAAACTTTTAGAGTAGTGTTCTTACAAAGTGCATTAGCTAATGCTTTTCCTCCTTCTGGTCCAAGTTTATTATATCCGAGATCTAACGTCGTTAAGGAGGTGTTCTCACAAATGGCATTTGCTAAAGCTTTTCCTCCTTCTGAACAAAGATCATTCCCATAGAGATTTAACGTTGTCAAGGAAGTGTTCTTGCAAAGTGCATTAGCTAATGCTTTTTCTCCTTCTGGCCCAATTTTATTACTATCGAGATTTAACGTTGTTAAGGAGGTGTTCTTGCAAAGTGCATCAGCTAATGCTTTTCCTCCATCTGATCCAAGATTATTCTTCTCAAGATTTAATATTGTTAAAGAGGTAAACTTGCAAAGTGCACACGCTAATGCTTTTCCTTCTTCTGACCCGAGCCCATCCGAAGCAAGATCCAATGACGTCAGTGTGGTGTTCTTGCAAAGTGCATCTATTAATGTTTCTCCACCTCTAAGATTATTGTCTCGAATATCTAAATCTTTTAGAGTAGTGTTCTTGCAAAGTGCTTCAACTAATGCGTAACCTCCATTTAATTCAAGTTTATTATATCTGAGATCTAACGTTATTAAGGAGGTGTTCTCACAAAGGGCATCTGCTAAAGCTTTTCCTCCTTCTGAACAAAGATCATTACCATAGAGATTTAACGTTGTTAAGGAAGTGTTCTTGCAAAGCGCATTAGCTAACGCTTTTCCTCCTTCTGGTCCAATTTTATTACTATCTAGATTTAACGATGTTAAGGAGGTATTCTTACAAAGTGCATCAGCTAATGCTTTTCCTCCTTCTGATCCAAGATTATTCTTCTCAAGATTTAATGTTGTTAAAGAGGTAATCTTGCAAAGTGCACACGCTAATGCTTTTCCTTCTTCCGACCGGAGCCCATCCGAAGCAAGATCCAATGACGTTAGTGTGGTGTTCTTGCAAAGTGCATCTATTAATGATTCTCCTCCTCTAAGATTATTGTCTCGAATATCTAAGTCTTTTAGAGTAGTGTTCTTGCAAAGCGCTTCAACTAATGCGTAACCTCCATTTAATTCAAGTTCATTATATCTGAGATCTAACGTTGTTAAGAAGTTGTTCTTGCAAAGTGCATCGGCTAATGCTTTTCCTACTTCGGATCCAAGTTTATTGCTATTAAGATTCAACGCTGTTAAGGAGGTGTTCTTGCAAAGCGCATCGGCTAATGCTTTTCCTCCTTCTGGTCCAATTTTATTACTATCGAGATTTAATGTTGTTAAGGAGGTGTTCTTGCAAAGTGCATCAGCTAATGCTATTCCTCCTTCGGATCCAATTTCATTATCATGAAGATTTAACGTTATTAAGGAGGTGTTCTTGCAAAGCGCATCGGCTAATGCTTTTCCTCCTTCTGATCCAAGATTATTATTTTCAAGATTCAGTGAAGTCAACATAGTGTTCTTGCAAAGTGCATCAGCTAATGCTTTTCCTCCTACTGATCCAAGATCATTCTCTCGAAGATTCAAATCTTTCAGTGTGGTGTTCTTGTGAAGTGCCTTTATTAGCTTGTTTATTTTTAACACGTCACATTTATTAGAAGATAAATCCCAGGTTGAAGCACTTTTTTGATCTTCAGGGCTATGTTGGCTGTTTTCAAGGATTTCTTCAAAAATTTCTAATGCTTTGAGAAATTTGCCTTGCTCAAAAAATTCATACGCATTCTTTCTCAAATTCTCAAGAATATTATTATTGTCTTGCACTGAAATATCTGAAATTATCGTATCAGGCAATTAAAGAGTTGAATTTCAAGTGAATTGAAGTGAATTAACGATATCGTCTTTACACTTACTTGAATGATAGTATTGATTCAAAGTTTCATCAGGAGCAATTTGTTTTAAAGTTTTATGAATTACTCTTGTTTCTGGACGATTGGCAGGATCGCTGTTCCAACATTTTTGGTAAAGCTCAACGTATTGAGATGGTGTACCTTCTATAGGCTCTTCTCTATTTCCTTTGGAAATATGAATAGAAAGCATAAACGGAGATTCAAAGTCTTGAAATGGAGGTCTTCCGCTTGAAATTTCCCATAGGATTTGTCAAAAGCTATATACGTCAGACCTCTCATCACGTTTATATCTATTCTTAATAAAACACTGAGGTTCGATATATGCTGGCATCCCATTAACGGCTGAGCTTGAGGTCATAGACATTTCATTAATCTGCTTTGATAATCCAAAATCCGTAATCTTTGGTTGCTTTTTATGAATTAGGATGTTTTTCGAATGCTAAATTATTAAAATAAATGATGAAAGTACGTATTAGTAAATTAATAACTGATAAATATAAAATCCATCAAATATAACGTAGAACTTACCAGATCTCTATGAATAATAATATTATTATGTAAAAATAAAAGCCCAAATGCTATTTCCTCGGCAATGGATAGTTTATCATTCCACTGTAAATTCGTAAAATTTTTCATTAGGTATTCTCGTAAAGTTCCGTCGTCAGCATATTGTAAAACCATATTATAATAGCATTTACTAATTTCTCCCCACAGTTGTGATATTGAGCCAATCAGGATGCAAGATCAGGTGTAACGTGACAATCAAAACAACAATCACTTTTTTTTGAAAAGTCACACTTATCGTAAAACTTCGCCTAAGAAATCACCTTTTATGCACTAACAAAAAAAATTCCTTGCAAAATTTTAGTATAATGTTGCCTACTAACTCTAACCTCAACCTTAACTGAGGTGTCACGTTTTGTTTAGAAGGTGACATGTAAATTTGTACAAATAATCCCAGCCAATCACAACTGTGGGGAGAAATTAGTAAATGCATCCTACGTTTGGTTAAATATATGTATTTTTCATTTATATTACCATTTTAAACCAAAATTATTGTCAATGCTGGATATTGATCTAGAATACAAATTAAATCCAAGTAAGCAAAGAGCAAGACAA